CGGCTTGTGCGTGGATCATGTAGGTCCGCAGGGCCAAAACTCCGAGTACAACACTCAACCTGTTGCCTCTCGCGGCTGCTAGCAAGTGCGCACTTGCAGGGCAACTCCAATACGATCTAACCAATCACCTTATAGGCTGACTCACACAGGACCTCACTGAGATGACTGCCGATTCTCGCGGCCGGACGTACGCTCCCTCCACTGTTAACTTCCTCCTACCTATTCTTCATTGCCCCTGTACAGACTACACTAGTCACTCCATCTGGCCTTTCACTTCTCCTACGGAACCGGGCCTTAAGATAACAGTGGCAAGGGTCTTCTCTATTAACTGCGGTAGGTGCATTCATAACCGAAAGAAAATGTTTAACAGAGAATCTTAGAAGAGTTATAAACTGCGTTTTAAACACCACTGTCCCTATGAAAAGACTCCAATTGGACGCTAAAGGGAGTAATCGACCGTTGCGGACTTTACGGCCAGTACAATGTTAATCAATACGATAATGAGAACACTAAACACGTTGCGCAAAGGGCCGGTAATTGGAACCAGCCTCACTAAACTAACTTTTGCGCAAGATACCTCCGGGAGCTTCGGCTGCGGCGCTTCCAACGGTGACTACATCGGCTGCTAACATCTTGTAAACTAAGCCAAACACAAAATATTATGAAGAGATCAGGCACGTTCAACACGTCCAAAGCACGGTTTACCTAGGATCGATCGTTTAGTTGAATAATCACCTAGGTTGAGGATGCGAAGCATGGAAATGAGACAAGTAATACGAGGCGAAAACAGCAGAGAACTTGGAATGAAACCATAAGTATCTTGAACAGGCAAAGCAAACACCGTTAGCTGACCTTTCTCTCAGGTATTTTTATTGCTTAAAGGAGAACATTCAGTAGTGGATGTGCTAGCGTTTGACTATAGACAAAATTATTTTCAGTAAAATCGGCATACTAACACTCGAAACTAAGATGGGGAGAAAAATTACAGTAATCTGGATAATTTTAGTGATAGAAGAAGAAGAAATAATAGGAATACCGATATGTCGCTCAACGCGGTTCTAAATGTTCATGCCTTAACTACTACAAGAGTCCAAGATTATGGACAGTGGTCACTCGCAACCAGTCGAGTAATGACTGCAGGGTTTACGGGGTCAGTTTAGGCGTAGAAACCTAACGGGTCCTTTTGCAGGACTAAATGAAAGCGGAGGCAGGATGGTGTGTCCCAGAAAAGGATCCCT